TAAATTTTTAAATAGGGTGTTAAAATTAAAGTAAAATTGTAAAATTTTGAAGTTTTTTTTTATAATAAAGTTTTTGGAGAAGATGGGAGGGGGGTTTGAGAAATTATAAAAAAAAACAAGAGGGGGTGTGGGGGTAAAAAAAAATGGAAAAAAAAAAAGGGGGGGGGAAAGGGAGAAAAAGAAAAAGAGGGGGGGGGGGGGGGGGGGGGGAGACAGGCAGGCAGGCAGGCAGTATTATTTTGATAGACAGACAGAGACCGAGAGCGACCTGTAGCGAGGCAGGAAGAGAAAAATATCGCTCTGCCTTGTTCTTGCCGTTTCCCGAATCGCTCAAACACTAATCCTCGTGTAGGAGGACAAGCGGAAGACCGCCGGGCCCGACAACGCGCAGACCGTTAAGGGCGGCGTTTCCACGACGGAGCGAGAGATTCAAAGGGTCGAGAACCGTCTCCAGCAGGTTAGTGTCCGCGGTGCCATATTCCAAGCCGCCTAAGCCGCTCCGTGCGCTTGAGCTCTTCTCCAGCTCAACAGGGGGCGGAGAAAGAGCTCTCGACACCAATCGGTCCAACATTGGAGGGTAGCTCCAAGTTTCAGTTCTCGTTCTTGGCCGCCAGTCCCTTGCACCTGTGCTCACCCACCATTTCCAATTGTTTTCGCAGACACTGATGAAGGCTAGCATGTTGGACGCGGCCAACGCTCGCCGTAAGGAGTGCGTCAACAGCCTGAGAAGAGAAAAAATGGCTGAGGTCAAGGCTCAGAAGCGGCTAGTGGCTGAGCTGGAGCGAGCGAGGGCGATCTGCGCAAGCACCACAAGGGCAACGCAGCAGGTATATTCGATGCCACATCGCCCGGTTCCGATGCCACCACCGCTGAAAAGAGCAGGAAAGCTTAGTTTATTTTTTCCAGCTTTGATGCAACGCGCCACTTTACAACTTGTGCAACATAGAGGGCGGCCACGAGCACTCAACGACGGAAGCACTGTCCACTTCTTACACAGCGGTTTCCCGTGACACTTTGGCACCACACCAGCAACTTACGAAGCGTGAACGAAATCATGCTAACCAGCACGCCACGGGCACCACCAAAAACAATATCTAGAATTTTTTTCTCGTGAATTGACACCTGCTACACCCCCCCCCCGTTCATGCACCCAAACGAACGACCTACCCTTGATGAAAACCAAAACTAAAAAGATGGTCGACGACAAGGAAAAGACTCGGCGAGAGATCGAGGTCCTGAAGCAGGAAGTCGTGAAGGACCTGGAGTCGTTTCGGGAGGAATTTCAGGGCATGACGGAGAGCCTGGCCGCCGCGAAGGAGGCCACTCAAGAAAGCAACGCGAAACTAGGTGATGGAAGGCGAAAAGAAGGGTTTGATAATCTGTTCTCGTGCTGGTGGCGGTGGCGGTGGCGGTGGCGGTGGCGGTAGCGGTGTTGCTGGTGTTGTTGTTGATACTGTCGTTGTTGTCGTTGTCGGTTGAGGTGGTTGGGGTGGTGGTGGTGATGATGGTGATGGTGGTGGGTGGCGTCGACGTTGCCGCTGTCGTTGTGGTTGATTGGCTTAATTTTTGTAATGGTATTTGACCCCATACTTTAGAATCAATCACCTTTGTGCGGTGTGGACTCTCTTGTCCGACCACAGGAGCAGGTTCTTGTTGCTTTCCGTTGTTCTCTTTCTCTTGATTAACGCTTTCCAAGCCAACTCACAATATCCCACGCCCACACGATCACGGATCGTCTGCACGCACACTGAACAGAAGAGCACATGCCTCGACATCAAAAGCCCTGATCTAGCGTGACGTCACGTCCTGGCATCCGACGGCGCCAAATAACCATGATCAACCACGATCACATGTCTACCTCCGAATACCATAACATTTTGCTGTCTCAAGAGGAAGCCATGAAAGTACGAGAAATCACCAAAAGAAGCGTGCCGAAGCGTCAATCCCTCGTCGATCTCGTTCCTCGGTCCGGCAGTACAGCAGTAGGGGCACACCAACACCACCCATTTCGATCAAGAAAATGACCTTGCTCAACAGGAAGCCGGAACTCTCTTAAAAAACGCCGGGAAAACCCAAAACCTTTCCCTCCCTCGCGCTTCCAACGTGTTAGCCCACCAATCTAACCACCCCCCGCCTCGCCTCGAAAGCACTGCGCGGCCGACGACCAAGTTAAGCTGCAAGCACACGACCCCTTCCCTAACCACCATTCTACTCCTCGCCGCCCGCCGTTCTCTCGCTTCTCCCGCTGCCTTCGGCTGCCAGAGTACATGACGCGTAGTCGCCCTCCAGGGGCAGGAGAAGACGAAGAGGGGGAGTCCGGGCAGGGCGGGGGTGCCGCGGGTGATGCATCCACGGGGTCTGCGGGTGGCGGCCCACCCGGGGCGGGAGAGGTGCAGCCCCTGTCGAGAGCAAAACGCCTTCACCAGCAGAGCATAATGTCGTTCTGGCTGATCCTCAAGAAGAAGAACGACCTGCAGGCGAAGGCGGCCAGGGTTCAGGAGCTGCGCGCCATGCTGGAGAAGATAAGGTGATGACGGGGGGGTAGGGAAAGCAACTTTATTGCTTGTTTCATCTCTTGCTTGCCTGTGTAGGTCTATTCTCTGTGTGTGTGTGCTTTCGCTCTCGCATCATTCCTTGGGGAGACGGTAGGGTTTCTACAGTGCCCTGATGCACCTCCGTCATCCGGGAAGGAGGGGAAAGACGGGTGGGTGCATCCACTCTTTCCATATTCGATGTGTGGCCATGGATTAAGGAGAAGGAGAGACGATCGTGGCGAGGTCACGATTGTCTAGGGCACCCGAAGGGGCCACGAATGGTACCTCACGCCGATTTCGAAGCAGCGTTTTCGTCCATCCTGCTCTCAAGTTCCACGTGATTTATGTAGAATACAGAATCACGTGGACTTTCAGTCGGTATGCCGTATTGTCTACGTGCCTTCTGTCCCATTGTATCCTCCAGCTGTTAGTGTCCCAAGATGTTTCGGAGGATTTGGCGTCCTAACGCTTTGCCGTTGTCCCTATACCAACAGTTGGTGAGCACACAAGTTTCCGCGTAGTATCTGACGAGGGGGATGAGGATCAAGGAACCCTTCTCACAACAAAGATGAAGGCACCCTCCAGGAGTTAGAATGTGCCGCCAATGCCGCATCGTAGATCCGTTGTAGAGAAAGCCGAGACGGCTGACAACCTATGGTAGATTTGGGAGATACTGCGAAGCGACAGTTGGTGTAGAAGTAGGCGGGGCGCCGCATTGTCGCGAAGTTGGGCCGGAGCCGAATGTGCTGGGAACGGCAGCGGCCGAGAAAAAAGGGGGGTCGTGGTGAACGCGTGAAGACGCGCTTGCTTGCTTGGCATACAACTTTCCGCACGGACGGCCTAAGTTTGACCACATACATTATCCCTTTCGAGACGGGTACCGCTCCTTTCCCCAGTCAAGGCACTTCTGGCGTTCAACGATTTTGGCATGGTTTTGTTGAAAAAACAGGCAGTACTGGTGTTCGTGTTTACCTTTCTTTCCTCGCGTGTTGTGTTGTTGTGGCCCCAGCATACAGCTTCTAGGGTCGTCGTCGCTCTCTCTGCGTGGGAGAAATCTGATCAAACCCGTTCAACGCGGTGTCCGATATCGTTCAACGAAACCAAATCCAAAAGTCGCGTTGTGCACACGCGAATCGACGTTGTTTTCGTCTTCGTATTGCAAGATCCTGTGCACTGTTGCTCGTTGTACGGTGGGGGGGGGGCGGCGAATCGAGCGGTAGCGAACCTTAAAGTGTTGGGGGATCAACGGTCTTGTTTCAACGGTCGTGTTAAATGACAGTGCGGCGACGAGTCTTACCACCCTCGACGACTTCGTTCCTGTGATGCTGGAGGCCGAGGACGAGAACTACAACCTGTTCAAGCTCATCAACGAGCTCAACAAGGAGGTGAACACGCAGAGCCACGGGATTCATTTAGTGCAGCCGCACCATGGTGTTCGCTAATCTAGACTTGTTGTGGTTGTCGTTGCTGCTGTGGTGGTAGTGGTGGCAGCGGCGAGTGTTTTGGGTCGTTGTTACGTTGTTCGGCTTGTATCTATCTCTCCCTTCTACAGTAAGCTTCCTCACATGCTGTCATGTTTTTTTGACCGGACGAACGGCACTGTCTCGGTGGAGTTCGATTCGGGCTGGACTTCCGTTGCCCGGGGCTGGCCACCGACATCGACATTTTCCTCATACTACAACTACTGCAACTACTACCGTTTCTGCTACTGCTACTGCTACTGATGCTGATGCTGATGCTGATGCCGCAACTTCTGCTGTCGCTGCTGCTGCCGCTTCCACGGCGTTTGCTGCTCTTTGGTCACCGCCTTAATGCTGCCACCACTGCCGCTTTTTCTGTAGTTGGAGGAACTCGACCACGAGAAGAGCCTGATGAACGACGAAGTCGACAGGTTGACGCAGGTGACATCTCCCGCACCTTCAAATCTGCAAGTAAACGCTGCGTGAAGCCACATGGCGTCTGGTCCCCGCTTGTTCTTCGTGTCGTTGCAAGCCTCTGTGAGGTGTTCATCACCGCGGTAGTCGCGTGTCTGGGGGGAGATCTCGACCTTGTCTGACGCTATCGTGCTTTCTTGGCGCTTCCCATCCGTACGGCTCGCCCAACAGAACCTACGTACATTAATTAGCGGATTTATTGCACCCAACTACGTTCTGTCATCACTGTCGTGCGAGAGTTCTGGGGTACTGGGGGCTCTCATGGGTTGTCATGTGTATCCGGGGGGCTGGGGTGGTTCGACTAGTCGTGAAGAGCGTTTCGTCCGACTTTCGTTGACACATTTTCCCTTTTACGGTACCCCCCCCTCCTTCTCCTGCTTGAAGTTCCCCTTGCTGTTGCTGCTGCTGCGCTGTCTGCCCACCTCCCTACCGTTGTCGTCGCTTGAATACATAACCTCAAGGCCGGAAGCAAGAAAAGTCAGCAGGCCGTCAAGCTTTCCCTCCAGCAGCAGATAGACCGCTACCGCTCCACGGCTAAGGACCATGACCGAGCCTACGGCAGGGACGTCGAGGCCATCAAGTCCATCGAGGAAAGCCTTATCTCCGTCTTCAACAAGGTGCGGCAGTGGGCTTCAATGTGCCGCCGTCACCTTTAGGTGCGGCGGGGGGGGAGTGAGTGCATGCACTCGGAATGATCCCGATAATCCTCCTCCACACTCACCTGAGGAAACAAAGGCCTAAAGGCTTACCGTTATCGCGAGAGAATCACGGAAGAGAACCGCTGTTTCTCCCGTGAAAAGGTGAAAGTATTTCCCTCTAACCTCGCCCGACGACAAAAGTACCGTGTAGACAAGAGCTTTATGGACCCCCGGGTCCTCCTAGAACTTTTCCTGGTGGCTGAAAGACGGAGGGAGCTACAAACAAAGTGCCCAGTGGGGGGGGGGGGTGTACTCATAGTCGTGCATGCGGTAGTCGATAGACCATTGACCTAGCATCCCTGCAAAGCCGGGAAGGAGCACGCCGGGTTCTCACCGGACCAGGCTCTCACATCACCAAGCGCGAAGTGCCGTGAGGTATTCGGCGAGTCGCATGACGGGTGCGCTGTACCTTCTAAGGGTGTTCGGCATCTTGTGCTTACTTCCTTGCATACAGATGGCAGCTACGAATGACTTAATATATTTTCTGGTGCTTTCACTTCCAGAGACAGTCAACTGTGTAACTGTCTCGAGCGTGCGTGACCGATTTAACACAACGTGGTGCGATCATCCCCTTTGCGGGGAGTGAGGGTTCTCGGCCCCGCACAACATAACCTACTCGACCACCATTATGGTTACGGAAAAAAAAAGAAAGCGATAACCTGGCTGCCGAGCTCACGAGGTGATCGGCTTGTTTTAAAACGTTGTTGCCAAGCGACGAAAACCCAACCCCGATGGTAAACACCGAGGTGGAGGGGGGGAGGGGGGGTAAACTCGCTGTATGTTTTGAGTAAGCGTAAAGGGGAGCCGCCGCCTCATCCTTTCCCCATCGCCCCCTAGACTGGACCACTAGACTGTTGTCTTCTGGGAAACCTCTTCCGGTCTCCTTCCTATCGGAGCTTTTCGCTCCGTGCTGCTCACCATTCTTGTGTGCTGGCGCCTAAGTTTTCCACGTGATGATCTGGCGTGGCCAAATTGCTATGCATATTTGCGCTTTTGACTCATTCAACTGCCTGTCTTTCATGCTCCCTGCTCGTTCTGTGTGCGTGCGCGGCGACCACGCATCACCGTCGGAACTCCTGGCCGCCGTTAACACCTCTGACGCTGCTGTCTGTAGGTCGGGTCCAGTGACAAGGCGGCGTCCAAGCAGCTGATCGCCATGGGCGTGACCGACAGAAACATCCTGCTCTTCCTGGCTCAGATCGAGGAGCAGATCGACTACATCGTGCAGGCAGGGCCACTAAAACGCGCCCCCACCACTAATGAACCTCTCGTTTCGGGCAACCCTACTAAATAGCTTAGGGTTGTTTCCTCTGGGAACAAGCCTGAGTATAGGCTTTAGTGTGGGGCGATCCAAGTTCTTCCCAAAATCGCAAACCTTCAAAAGGTCTGGACTATTGCCGGTATTTCCGGCGTCTATCGGTGCACCCGCCCTGATCTCAGGTGCACCCCTCCCCACCGCTTTGGCGCGTGACTTGACTTGCCCGAACCAATTCCCCCTCTCTTTTTGTTTTGGGTGCTTGTCGGTGCTTGAGCATTCATGTCATTCCGCCTCCTCCCGCAGGTGTACAACCCGTGGGCACGGCCGCATGTACGCAGACAACATCCCCCCCCAATCCCTTCCCCACCGCGTTCGTTCGAGCGTCGTGGATCAACTTGCGGGAACCCCATGCTGCTCTTCTTTCTTTTTGTGCGTGCCCTTGTATGCATGGCATCCACGCCGCTTCCTCCTGCAGGTATCCAACTCTGCCTTACACGTCGGGCGTACCAATGCACATGCTATCCACCCTACACCTCCTCCCGCCCGCAGGTGTACAACGCCGCCACGGATAGCACGGCCGTGCCGAACGTCCGCCGTCCCTCCACCCCGGTGGTGAACCAGTCGACGGGGGAGCGCGTGCCGAGCATGTGCGCGCCGCACCCCCCGTCCTCGGACACGATCGACGACACCCCCCTGGGCATGTCGGCGGCGGCGGCGGAGGAGGACGCCGACGGCGCCTTCCGCCCGATCAACACGGCCAGGGTGAGCAGTAAGACGTACATGTGGCCGTAGTATCTCGACTTTAGTTTGTCCCTGGGAGCCCGTACTTTTTGCGACAAACAGGAGTTTCCCGGTCCGAGATCAGTGTGAACGGCATGAAGGAAAAAATGTGCTCCCTTTGCGTGGTAGGCGCTGCTTGAGTCGGACGTCGAAGGCTATCATGTAGAACAGCAGTTAAAACACAAGAGTAAATAAAGTGTCAGCAACTTGGAAAAAATAACGTCGCTTGGCTTTGCAGCGCTAGGCGGCAAAGCGGTTTGACTCCGGAAGCGTCATCCACGAAGATTCTTCTTCAGGAGTCCCACCCGCTCAGGCTCGAGGACAGAAGGGAAATACCTGCCAAGAGGAAAAGCGGTCACTCGTCTATTTCGTGCACTGTTCTTGCAAAACGAACCACTCTCGCCAGCCTTGCTTGCGAAGGTGGACGTGGGTTCTCGCTTCAAGACATGTGTCCGGCGCATGATCCTTTCATGTGTTATTGAACCGCTAAGGGGTTCACAGAGTCATTTGCTGGCCCCCATAGAAACTGTTCGCCCTTTACCACCGTAGCGCGTTCGTGACTATTTTTGAAAGTGTAAGTTTGCGCGTGCAAGTTTTATCACACACACACACGCCTTAGATCCGTCTAACCAAAGAAGAAGGAAAGACACAGCATCCATCCGTTGAAAGAGAGTAGTACAACAGGCTCGTTCAGTTTCACCTCTGACTTCTTCTGCTCGTTCGTGCCACTGTAGTACAAAATCAACAACATAAATAGCAAACAAATGTTGGCACGAACCAGGTGGCGGTGAGCATGAAGGAGCAGGTCCTCCGAATGCCCCAGGGGATCAACAAGGCGGGCGGCGGCGGAGGCGGCGCTGGGGGGGTGAAGGGCGTCAAGATCGGAGACGGCAACTTTTCGGGACGCGCCGCCAAAACGGTGAGGGACCCATTGCTAGAGGAAACCGTTACGAAAGTCGCACTATTGTAAACGTCCGCATAAACGTGCCCTTGGTCTTGATTGTCAAAGCGACATGTTTACGAACGTCCGCATCAATTACGCCCTTGGTCTTGGCCTTGTTGCGATTGTCAAAGCGGCATATTTGCATACGTTGTTTCCCCCATGGCGGAACGTCCGGCGCGAGAATCCGTCGAACGAAAGGTGCTTCGTGCCGCTTGCGGTAGGGCGGAGGGGGGAATGTATCCAGCTGTGTGTGTGTCCCGATACAGTAAGTCGACCATCAACCACGCGGGACAGAATCGAAACACGATTGATTGGTTGTGGGCGGGGGAGGAGGAGCGGCACCGCAAAAAAAAAGGTCGATGTATTTCATACGCCCGTCATCTCCCTTCGATAGACTGATGCGCCAGGCGGACATGACGGTGTGCGCTTCTCTATGCATGGGGCTTCGAAAGGTGCGTGTAGCTGTGGTCAAGTCTTCGATAAAATGCCCGGCCTGTTCCCCGCTCGCGCTTCTGCACAACCTCCTACCTCACATAGGTTGGCTTGCCGCCAGAGAAATCGCCAAGTGGTATAATCGGGGTCATGGACTCAGTCCAAGACTCGTCAACGTCGGGGGGGGCACGCGGAGCGTGACAAGGTCAAGACTCGTCCACGTGAGAACCTCTTCCATCCAAGTATAAGCATGCCGTTCCAATACTTGGAGACAACGTTAGGGGCAGTTCGTATGGCACAGATGAGCTTCCAAGGGGGGGCGAACAAATATTTATCGGCTCTTTTAAGAAAGACGTTGTACTACCGGGAGCGTGGCTTGAGTTTTCGGTCCGTTGTTGACCCTCGCCCTCCCCCCGTCCCAAACCACCCTTGCTTGTGCGTTGCGCAGTTTGTGTTCTCTCGCGATTTTTCAAGCCGAGTTTCAGGTTGTGTGAGTGGCGCACGAAGCGCAGGAGAGCGCATTAGATGCATACCGTACTCTATTTAGCAGGTCGCTTAGACTGGCGAGAGAGATGGGCAGTTTGTGTGTGAGAGACAGAGATAGGGTGTGATGAGAAATGACGTGGCGACAGCATAACTGCCGCTGATGAGCATGTACCGCAAGAATGTAAGGAGGTGATACATGCATCTTGTCTTCGGACAAGTTCCAAGCCGACGATAGACCTTTGCACAAGACCGGGGTGGGCGTACTCTTATGTTTTGCATGCCTTAGCGGTTAGACCATTGACCACGTGTCCTCGAGAGGACGGAGCATTGTTCCCACAGGACCGATCACCGATGGCCAATCGTTCCTTCCTATTTTGCCAAAGGTGGCTCAAAAACGTCTTCCCTATTCTATCTATCCTAACGATATCCCTCCCCGCCTTTTCAAACCACTTCCTACTCCCCAGTACAGCTACCGTCTTCTCCTCTCTATTCCATGCCTCAAACATCTCCCTGTACCTCTCTTGTATTTTTCCCAGCTCAGTGATATACACTTCCCTCTCCTTTTCGTTCAACTGACATCCCGCCACTACATGAACACGGTCTTCGCATTCGAAGCCGCAATCACATTTGATCTTGTCGTCTTCGTCGTCTACCGTCCTATGTCTTCGTCGACGTTCTCGAAGGCTTATATCCCCGGTCCTGAATTTGACGCTAGGCTTTGTCCCTGCATCCATTGGTCCATGTAGGCAATCCTTGACCCCTATTCCTTCTTTCAACATTCCGTGCACTTCAAGACCCTCCTTTCCTTGGTTTCTTTCCTTAGATTCTGTTCTTCTCTCTCGGCACAAGCAACATATATCTTCTCCTTGAACCCCGGTAGACCCTCCGTTTCCAGCGTTTCATCTTCGTCGATGTCTAACCCCTTCCATACGTCCTCTACAACCTTGACCCACTCCGTGGGTTGTCTTCCCCTCTTTTTGTTTGCCCACTTCGCCTCCCATACTATTCTCGGCAACCTCTCCTCTCCCATCCCGCACATGCGATACTGCCATATCAGCTTCCTTGCGTCTCTTCCCGACCGTAGGGACTGGATCCCCAATTCTGCCCTGACGGCTGCATTACTTGTGCGCTTGGAGCATGCTAGGATGATTTTCGCTGCTTTCATCTGCACAAGACCGGTGGGGGGCTACATACATATGGGTTGGGAACATGTTATTATTAGTTTCTTCAATGTTCCAGTCTCGCGCCCGAACTATGTATGCCACTAGTTCCAAGTCTAGTATCATAGACGTGTGGTTGCTTGTGTTGTGTAACTTGTTATTGGTGCGCGGCAACGGCGATACCCGAATGTAGCGCAGGTTTGCCAGTTTTGCCTGCTTTCTCAACGGCAGTAGAGAAAGACAACCCGTTAAACCTACCCCGGCGAATCGACAATCTGGTCGTCAAGACTGAGCCAACAAGTTTCTAGTTTCTTGAAGATGCTGCAGCATGGCAAGAGGCTGCTCCATACTACGACGTTGTGGCGCCTTGGAGTATGGTTTCAACGACACACAAGTCACTCGAAAACCACTACGAGGGCATGGTAGACATGGCACTCCATGGAGACAACAGTTTAACATGAACCGTAACATATCATTGGGACACGGTCGTTCCCAAACAGGCCAACACGGCGCCTCACACCATACATATTGTAATGCCCCGCAAGGCCAAGAGCGTTTCAATACATCCGCGAACCCCATTCGATGACACAAGGAACGAGTTGGTGCACCAATCAATCGGTCACGATCCTTCTGTTTCGGGGAATCCACCAAAACGCGGTTGATTGGGCAAGGACTGCTAGCGCATCCGTGCCGAGCATGCCCAGCCACCGCCCGCCTCATGCGTACAGGAGCCGAGCAGCTGCTGACCCCGCGAATCCTTCGGGCGGTTTCAGGTTATCGTGCCGTTCAACCCGGCCGCGGAAAACGAAGAGGGGGGGGATCTTCCTAGTAGCAAAACGAGAAACACGCCTCGTCTTTTTTGTGCTATTGATGGTCGAACTGGGGGGGGGGGAAGAAGGGAAACCGCCCTTGCGCTCGTAACATCCTCACACCATTACTAATTTCTCTAAGGGACCGATACGGTCTCTAGACTAGAGGTCTCACAGAACTGTATCAAACAATGTGAATAATCACTTTCAGTCCGAAAGCCTGAACCACGCACTTTTTTTAGCCGAACGCCCGAGACGCGAGAAATGACCCCATCGGCCGCCCTGCACTGGTTTAGAAACCTTCCGCAAGTTTCAGCTTGATTGGTGCTTTTTGCGCTGTTGGCGGTTGGCTGTATACGCAAGCACGCCTGCACAAATCGCTGCTTCGATCTCTCTGCGCGCGCGCGCATGTACAAGAAGAACAAATAATGTTGCCCTCGAAACGCGGCGAACTGTCTATCGCGGGGCACACGACGTGTCGAGATCAGGATAAGCTACAATGGATGGTGATGTAGACTATTTGTTCCGCAATATTCTGCGCGTGCGCGTAAAATATTTGAAACCGTCGTCTTGCGAAGGACATACTTTGTCGTCGGGAGGTTGCAGCGGTGTGGCCCGAACCTCTCGTTGTTGTTGTTGTTGTTGTTGTTGTTGTTGTTGTCTTCACATTATAAACTGTTAAGATGCAGCATATCCACTATGCTACAAGTCAGCTATATCCACTGTGCTACAAGTCAGCGCTGACTTGTAGCACAGTGGATATGCTGTACATCTTAAAATCATATGAAAGTTCCATGGACTTTCATGGACGACATGGTGTCGAGTGTCATGGAGTTCCATGGAGTTCCATGAAACTATTCATTTTTCCATGGACTTCCATGGACTTCCATGGAAGTCCATGGAAGTCCATAGAATTCCATGGAACATTTCAAGGAAGTCCATGGAAGTCCATGGACTGGTTTGGTTTCATGCAAGTCCATGGAGTTCCATGGAGTTCCATGAAATATTTCACTAAAAAATACTATAATGTAGATGACTGCCCGCGTTAGACTATTCGCCGCGTTTCGAGGGAAACAATATATTGATTTTGTACGTACATACGCCGCGTTTCGGGGGAAACAATACTTTTGTCACCCATCGCACACAGCGAACACCGAACCAACACAAATTTCTTTCCGCTCGCGTTATAACTTCTCCCAAGTGAACTCACACGAAACCTCCCTTCCTTGCAAACCCAGGCGAGCATCACAGTTCTTGTACATACGCGCGCGCATGGAGGGATGGAAGCCCGATTTGTGCAGGCGTGTTTGTGTATCTCTTTTCCCGAACAGTCTTGCATTCTGGATACAACGTGCCAAGACACCAACACCGGAACCGTGACATTTCCTTATATATCCTACATCCACCCCGCCGCAGGGTACGTGTTCATGCCAATTAGCCAGCGGGTGTGCACTGAAGACATGGCCGTGCTTGTAACGGTCCCAAGCAATGCTTGGTAGTCTGTAGTCTATGTTGACAGCATGAACGAAGTTGTCATGATCCGACGACGACGGATAAATGTTCATCCGCGTTTATCCGCGATCCGGGGCGATCTTTCATTCCACCGTGCACCGCCATGGTATCAACCTCACGGCAAGCAAGCCCAAACTATGTAGTCAACGTGTACGTGTGTGTGCGTGTGTGTGGTGTGTGGCCAGATAGCCAGCAAGTGTGCCCTGAAAACATGCCAGTGTGGTGGCGGTCTCAAACAACATGCCCTCAGCAACAACAGAAGGAGTGGACGGGTGGACGGATCCACGGATGGATACTACGGGTAAACGTATAATTCTACAGCAGACTACTAGCGGACCGTGGCGCAGGCGGGCATGCATGTTAGCGTACCAAGGCATGTATCGCACAACGGGACCGTTTGGCCATGTTGATGCTCGGGCACACCACTGCAGCCTGGCTGGGTGATTGCTGCACGCCGTTGTACGACCTTGTGAGATCGAACACACCATTCATTGGCACGCCACGACCGTTGGCACGGCAGTCAACCTGCCATGTTGGTGCACGGTGGAATGAAAGATCGCCCGGATCGCGGATGAACGCGGAGAAACACTTACCCGTCGTCGGATCCTGGATCGTGGATCGTGCCGAACTTCTTTTATGCTGTCGACATGGACTACTGCTTAGGAACGTTACAGCACGGCCATGTCTTCAACGTACACCCGCTGGCCAATTCGCCAACAACGGCAGATGTATGTATGTGCATGGACGCGTGTCGTGCGGCGGCGGCGGTGGATAGTCTATAGGATTTGGGAATGTCGCGGTTCCGGTTTTTCCGGTTTTGGTGGTGTGGTGGTGTGGTGGTGTGGTTGGGGGTGGGGGGGTGGTTTGGATACCCTCCCGGGTGTATTGTTGTTTGAGTTTGGGGAAAGAATGAGAGACAGCCACTGCTGTAAGACTGAAACACTTTGTGCCAGCCAAACTCCCAATCAATCAAGACCACCGTTGGAAGAGACAGATAAATCTGTAAGACTGAAACACTTTGTGCCAGCCAAACAATTCCAGGGTCTGCTCTTGTACACGGTGCTCACCTCTGTTTCTATATACCCTATCGCTCAAAACTCACTATTTTGGTCTGCGCCAACACGATGAAACTGGCGAGCGATTGAGGTTGACTGCGGGACCACCGATTGAGGTCGACTGCCGTGCCAACGGTCGTGCCAGCGGTGTCCGACCTTACAATATAATGTACGATGGC